TAGCTTCATATGTTGTAATGACTACTTTAGATTTTACTTCCTATACATGAAAAAAATCATACAGAATCATATTAAAGGAAAAAAAACATTTACTTACACCAAGATATTCACCACGAAGACCAATATAATAAATACGAGTTGTTTCATCACCGAAATTCGAAGGAAAATATAAAGATAAATGTGTTACACGTGAAAAATGTGATGGACTAAAATACATATTTGATTAAAAATTTTTTCAAAAAATCAAGATATTTACTTGACTTGATAAGCTAATGTACCGGATGGATCATATGTAAGTGAAATTTCTTGATGAGCTTTTCCACGTGCATTATCAAAACGCAATTCAGGTAAATTACTCCATCTATTCATATGTATATATATGGGGTTGCCCAGTCTGGTCGGATACCCCAGTAATATTGTCTTTATTATAAGGATGAAACATACCATTGTTCGGGTCATATGAGAGAGAATCATAGATAACCCCAGATTGGCCCGAACAACACCATGTTTTGTCCTTATAATAGTAGAGAAAAGCCACCAGCTTATTGTGTGAGTTAGTAGCGTTTCTCTACTATTATAAGGACAAAACATGATGTTCTTCAGGCCAATCTAGGATTATCCATGATTCTCTCTCATATGACCCGAACAATAGTATGTTTGATCCTTACAATAAAGAAAATATTACTGGGGTATCCGACCAGACTGGGCAACCCCATATATATAAATCATCATTCCTACTTTATTGAAATAATTTATCCACATACAATTTAACTGTATTTGGATGTGATGGTCCATTTTCACCAATAACACATAGGCCAGTTATTTTTACAGCACCATTAAATGGTATACTGAAAAGTAATTCTTGTTCATCATCACTTTCAACTACCTTTCAAAAACAAAAAAAACCTATCTATAATATTTTATTTAATTAAATCAAATACAAAATATACTTTTGATCGATCAAGTCGTTCTTCCCATGCTCGAAATACATCTTTACCTGAACCATCATGTTTTTCATTATAACATTGTAAATTATATTTATCAATTTTTGTATATAAATTCCATTGACCAACATTTGTTTCATCAACATGTTGACATGTATGTGAACATGAATGTTGCATTATTTATCTGAATAGAATAAAGAAAAATAATTCCTTTCTTTTTATGTTATTTTTTATGGAACAATTTATTTTATATCATCAAGAAAAGAAATTACATAATACACAGATGAACAAAACAACAACAACAACAACAACATTGTTTTATGTACGTCCTTTATGTTTTTTTTGATGAAGTAACATACTACTTTCATCTCGTCGTCGTTTAGTCATTGGATTTCTTGGATCATAAACAGTTAATAATTCAGCATTTGTATAAATATCTTGAACATTATCTAATAATTCTTGAGATACAAAAGTATGTTTTAAAAATGGTGTTTGAACTTTATCAGCTATTTGTTCTGATTGTGTTTCATTTAAAGGTTCATTAATTTGTTCATCTTTAGCAGTATGAACTTTTACACGAAATCTTTCTAATAAATCAAGTGTCTAAAAATTAAATTCAAATGTTTTATTCAATACAAAAATAACTGATGAACAAACTTGAGATTCTCTTGAATTTGAATGACTACTATGATGTTTTTTATTGTTTCGTCTTGTACCTGCCATTAATTCATCCATTAATGTAGTGGTACTTGAGATATCTGGTTGAATAGATGCAGGTGCAGCTAAATTTGAAATAAACTCATAAAATCTGATTGTCAGTTAAAAATAGGATGAATATCCTCATGTATCCTTGAAATATGAAATAGATCTTGGTAAGACCGAAAAAAAGTTCAATACTTTCGAATGGATTTATCCGTTCAAACTGGAATTCTTAGGATATACTAAATATCATTAAACAATACTTACGTTCTGTTTCTTCTTGGACGACATTTTCTGATGATTTGGGTGTGGATGCTGATGATGACTTTTTTGTTTGTTTTAATTCTTTTTTTAATCGTTCAATTTCAAGTTTAACATTTTCATTTCTATCAAAACAAAACTAAATCAATCAACATATTTTTGTTGTATTTTATATTTACGATTTTGTTGTTGAAATATCTTTTTGATTATCATCATCATCATCAATATCAAGTTGAAGTGTTTTTTTCTTTTCTTGTTGAGCTAATTTTTTTGCATTAAATTTTTGTCGTACTCTATCAAGTTCTTCTTTATCAAAATCTGCATCACTTTTTTCTTTTATTTTAAAATTTTGTTTCTCTATAGGTAATTCTTCATCACTTTCTTCATTATTTTCATTTAATACAACTGTCTTTTTACTTAATGTTGAATCATTAGTTAAATCATGTGCACTTTTTCCTGTTCCTTTTTGTTTGAATGTCTATAAAAATATTAAATTAAGAAAGGAAAAAACAAATAAAATATATCTATACCATTGAAATTTTTGTTATTTCTTCTTCATCTTCTTCAGCTTCATTTCCAAATGAAAGAAGACCATAATTTCTAATTATAAAAAAAACAAAGAATTTCAAATTCTTGTTTTAACTTCATAGAAAAA